GGGGCCGGCGGTGCGCTGCGTGTACGCCCCGCTGCTGAGAGCGAGTGGCTTACATGCGGTGCGGGCAGCCGTGTGTCTGCATGTGGGAAGTACGCCGACCTCTGCCGCCAGCGTACCGCAAGAGCAGCAACAAGAACAACAACAAGAACAAGGACCGCAATTATTACCAATGCTGTTACTAATGGAGAACCCAAGCAGTACGCAGGTGCCACTGGCGCTGGGAGTCATTGGGAATGGGATGATTTTCTTATAGATACAAGCAATACGTATAAGGAGTGTGAGAAAAACCGCACAGGTCAAGTTCGTGGAGTAAATTGTTCGATATGGTTTGGATCTTCGAATGATAAGGGTGTGAGTAGTTCTTCTTCAGAGCAATATAAACCGAATGATGGTACCCGTACAGAGGATCTTACTTCAGTGAATGAGAATAAACCAGGGGTTGCAGCAGAACATCCTGCCATTCCCTCTGCAGCTTCAGAATTGAATGCAGAAATACCGTCGACAACCGAAGGACAAGGAGAAGAGTCTACTAAAGCTAAACAAAGTAACGAAGAGGCGTCGAGTAACCAAGCTGATAACACTACATCTGCCGACTCTAATCCTAACCAGCAACCTCCTGCAACTGTTAATGCAACTGCTGCACCAGTTTCACACGAAACCAATTCCACTACTCCGCCGAGGACCGAGAGTACTGTTGGTGAAGCACCAACCAATACTTCGTCTCCTGTTCCCGTAACCGACTCACAGATGAGCAACACCATCGCTTCCACTGTTCAGAACAAACCCAATGTTGACAGCAGTGTCAGTCCTGTGTGGATGCGCACTGCAGTACCGCTGCTGATTGTGGTTGTGTTGTTCTCCGCTACTGTGTACTGAACGGTGGGACTCACTTGAGGGCAAATAATAATAATGGTAATATTAACATAATTATAATTGCGTACTTCCCCCATGGGTGAATGAACTAATACTCTGTTTACTAGCTGTCACTTTTAATTGGAATATCTTTTCTTTTACTTTTATGTGTGTGTGTTCTTTTTCTAATAATTTCATTACTTGCTTTTCGCGTTGTGTGTTTGCAGAAAACTGGGCTGTTCTGCTCACTGACGGTATACATCTCTTGCTAGTACACACAGATGTGTGTGTGCAGTAATTTAATATACATAAACTAGAGCCATGGGGTATTGTGTGTGTGTTTGGCTCTCCCTTTTTTGGGTACTGTGTTGTTTTCTTTCTATTAATGGATACATATTATCATACAAGCTGTATATTTCTTTTTGTTGCTTTACTGTACTGTTGCTGCTTCTCTCTCTTTTCCACTGTGAGTATTTGTGCACTGCATCCACTCACTATGTGTGTCCCTTTTTCTTCTTTTTTCTTTCTTGTATTAGTCTATTGTAGTAATCAGCAACAATGACTAAGACTGTAATGGTGAGGTGTTACCTACTCTGTTTACTAACTCTTGCACTGTGTTGTGCTTGTGGGTTAGTATGGGCTGATAGTCCTAAAGCTTCTGATTCCCTTATTAAAACTTCCACTGTTGGTGTTCCTTCTCTTGTTCGTCGTGCTATTCCTGCGCTTCTTCTTACTCCTTTGTGTGACGATGAAGAAGAACAAGAAAAGTGGTTGTATGAGGTGGATGCGGAAAATAAGGATATGGCTCAAAGCCTACAACCAAATGGAATCAAACCACCAGATGATTCAGCGGTAAATGGGATAGGGGGATCTACTGTTAGAGCCGAATCCTCTCCTGCAGAACACCCGGCTCCAGCACCACCTGGAGAGGCATCAACGAAGAACGATCACACCATTGAACGAGAAACGGAATCACCAGGACAAGGACAGGAAAGCAATGTCACTCATGACTCACCAAACGGAGAGACCAAAGTCACATCACTGCCTGGAACTACTGACGGGCGAGAGACTTCTCCTACAGCAACTCTGAGTGCTCCTGAAACTTCTTCAGGGAGTTCAGCCACCCAAAACGCCGGGGAATCTGAAGCTGCAGAGAGTAAGTCAACACATACTAAAGACGGTGATGTGGGTAATACAGCTACCACCACCACCACTACCACAACTACAACAACACTTCCTCCTGAACTCATAAACAACAAGAAGGGTGATGCAGACAGCAGCAGCAGTATCAGCAGTTCTGTGTGGGTGCGTGTGCCACTACTGATTGTGGTTACACTGGCCTGTANCTGGTGGTGACGATCATACTTCTAAGCATAAAGCAAGTGATGTTGAATTGAGTGCAGATCCGTCACAACACGCTGAATTGGAGGCACAAAAGCTAAAGGAAAAGACGAAGGCGGACCACACAGAAACCGACATGGAGCCGGTAGGACGCGCTGAGCATGAGGAACAACCAGTTGCTCAACATTCTGACGGATCTTTAACGGGACTGACACGTGTACCAGCAAAACAAGTACCAGAAGAAAGTGAAAAGTCAACGGTAACGTCAACTGCAGAAACACCTAAAGGGGGTTCCCTTGCTTCTCCAACTCATCCTAGAGGCCCATCTGGGACTGACGTAAAAGGTGCTGGTAATAATACAGAAACATCGCAGACTGTTGCATTGGCTCAGTCGCGGGAAGAGACAGTCCCAAACCAGGGAACAAACGTTGAAACTTCAAGGAGTGTATCCAAGGGTGATCCAACACCACCTGATGTTAAGACGCAGGAGCCCAACCCTCAAACGGCACAACCACCACAGGACACTCAACAAAGTGGCAGCACACCCAATGACACTACCGCAGGTAACACAAATACGGTTCATGGGGAAGAAGGAGGTCCACAGTCTCCTCAACCATCTTCTTCTGCATCTCCTCAAGCTAATGGAACTGAGGGTGGTGGGAATTCCGCAGATGCAACAACGAATAACTCAGAGAATACAGACCCTGCCGCTCCCAATACACCCAATAATGAGGAATCAACCTCAACCACCACCACCACAACAACAACACTTCCTCCTGAACTCACAAACAAGAAGAAGGGTGATGCAGACAGCAGCAGCAGTACCAGCAGTTCTGTATGGGTGCGTGTACCACTACTGATTGTGGTTACACTGGCCTGTATTCTTGTGTGCTGATTGAGTAATGGTGTGATGTGACTCAGGTCATCCTTTGTTTTCTTTTCTTTTTTTGCATGCATCCACACTACAGTCTAACTAATCTTCCACCTGTTGGGAGTTTTCTTTTTTTATGTTTCTTAATGTTAATGTGTTTTGTGTGTTTTTGCTCTCTATGTGTTTATCCTATAATAATTATTATTGCTACTCCATTTTGTGTGTGTGTGTTCTTGGAGACTCTCTCTCTGTGTGTTCCTGGGCTTGCACTGTGATGATGATGATGAATTGTTTTTTTGCAGTGGGAAAAAATAAAATAATAATAACAGATACATAATTATATTTATAATTGCGTATATACACACATATAGACTTACACCCATAGTTGGTGTATGTATCTGTGTTTACTGGGTAAATTAGGCTATTGTTCATATCTGTTTGTTTGCTTGTGGGTTTGCTGGGTGGTTCAGCCGTTTGTGAGATATTTGTGAGTGTGTTCTTTTTTTTTTTCTGTTTTTACTCTTACTGAGGTTATTGGTCTGTATTGCATTCTTTAACTGGTTGATTTTTTTTTCGCGTTGTGAGTTTCTTGGTAGTTTACTGTTTATGCTTCCTAAAGTGTTTGATATAATATTTATTTTCTTTTTCTTTTTTGCTTATTTTCGATCTTTACACGCATACAGACGTCGTTGTACCTCAGTGATATTATTGAAAAGAATGTCCATGTTTCCCGGCCGTGTGTCGTGCCTGTTGGCCATTGTGCTCTGTTGTGTAAGTGTGAGTGGAACCACAGAGACTGGCGCTGTTGAAAATGAAATCAGTATAGATCCTAAAAGCATTTCTGATTTGGCAGAACTATCCGTTGAATCGGTCAAAGCGGCAAATGCGACGAGGAATAAGATTTTGCAATTGAAGGATGAATGTATTGCTGCTGCAAAAAATGCCACTGACTTAACCAGAGAAGCCAAAGAGTTCGTCGCGAAAATCAATGAGTTCGTCAAAGCAGCGGAGACTAATNCAGTTCTGTGTGGGTGCGTGTACCACTACTGATTGTGGTTACACTGGCCTGTATTCTTGTGTGCTAATGGTGGTGGTAGTGTGACTGAGGTCATCCTTTGTTTTCTTTTCTTTTTTGCATACATCCACACTACAGTCTAACTAATATTTCACTTGTTGGGATTATATTCTTCTTTTTTTGTTTCTTAATGCTAATGTGTTTTGTTTTATTATCTTTATTCTATAATAATTATTATTGCTACTCCATTGTGTGTGTGTGTGTTCTTGGATACTCTCTCTGTGTGTGTGCACCTGGGCTTGCACTGTGATAATGATGATGAACTGTTTTTTACAGTGAAAAGAAAAGGGAAAAAAATAATAATAACAGATGAATTTATATTTATAATTGCGTATATACACACATATAGACTTACACCCATAGTTGGTGTATTTCTGTGTTTACTGGATAAATTGGGCTAATGCTTAATATCTTCGTTTGTTTTCTTTTTTTTTTGCTGGTCCTTTTTTTTCTTTGCTTTCTCCTGCGTTGTTATGATGATCTCTTTCTTGAAGAGTGAAACATGATAATAACAGATACGTATTTGTATTTATAATTGCATGTGAACTCGAATACATCCATAGCTTAGTATGTTTTTACTGTCGCTGGGTCCGCTGATCGTACCATTAAATGTTTTTCTACGAGTTGGTGTTGTGGCGCTTTATTGTTCTCTTTAGTCTTTGTGCACGTTGCTTTGTCTTGTGTTTTTTCTGGGTTTTGTTTTTTTCTTTTTCTCCTTTTTCCAGCTGTTTGTGTGCGTATCTATTTAATTCTTTATTTGGTTCTTTAATTCTTTTTTCTAAAGTTTGCTTAAATATAACGATTAAAGTGATTTTTTTCGCATGATGTTGCTGCGACGACTACTGTACCTTACGGCACTGTTTTTGAGTGTTGCCTGTGTGTGTGTGGCGGCTGGAGATGAGGAACGTCCACCTTCTGGTGTTGGTGGTAGTTGTGATCCAGGCAAGAATGGATCCAAGTGTGTTAAAGACCCTAAGTCACCTGCAGATTCTCGTACTGAATGTGCGGACCATCCTGGCAATGAGGAATGCACTTCCAGTGATGGTGAAGGTGAAGGCGGTTGCCGTAAAGGTTCTAAACCTTGTTCACCAAAGGAAACGGCTCCAACTTCACCCAAGGAACCAGCTCCCACTACACCACAGGAACTGGCCTCAACTACACCAAAAGAGCCTGAAACTGGTGGAGCTGATAATACAAATGCTGAGAATGCCAATATACCCAATAATGGTGAGGAATCAAACTCAACCACCACCACCACCACTACAACGACAACACTTCCTCCTGAACTCATAAACAACAGGAAGGGTGATGCGGACAGCAGCAGTATCAGTTCTGTGTGGGTGCGTGTACCACTACTGATTGTGGTTACACTGGCCTGTATTCTTGTGTGCTGATTGTGGTGGTGACTCAGGTCACCCTTTGTTTTCTTTTTCTTTTTGTATGCATCACTACAGTCTAACTATTCTTCCACCTGTTGGGATTATCTCTTTTTTTTTGTTTCTTAATGTTAATGATATTGTTTTTGTTTTAGTGGTTTAAGTACTATCACGAATAGTCATTACTTTCACTATTACCATTACATATTATTCTTATATATATACGTACTGTTAACAG